ATATATCTTTTTCTCCTCTTATTTGTTCTACAGTCTCAGCTGAAATATCACCTCCTCAGAGAGATCGCCTCCTCACTCCCAGACAGGGGTGACAGACCTCTTGTTACACTTTCCTTTATGTTTCTTCCATAGCACTTTTAACAGACCTAATGATTAGGACCAGTCCGCCCCAACAGATTACAAGTTTCTTTTCTGATCTGGTTCATCATTATACCTTTGGTATCGAGCACAAGGTCTGACTCCTAGTAAATACTTGTTGGATGAATGGATGAATAAGTTGCAACTGATCAAGACAACCAGGGCACCTGTTATAATACTCTAAAGAAAGGGCTGGGATTTTAAGTGAGTGATAAGGCAAGACACTGGAGGGCCCTGAATACTTCCTGACTTTACATCCAACCATCTTGTGGCCAAAGGAGCAGGTCAAACCCCACCTGCTTTCTGCCCAGAACTGTCTTCAGACACACAAACATCACTTTCATTGTTTCTTTCCAAAGCTATAAATTTGGAGTCTAACCCTTCATTCATTGTTTCTCTCCAAAGCAAGCACTTTCCTCAAATACATCAAATGGTTAGATTCCGAATTTGTAGCTGTTAGGAAATCTAAAGTTATGGACACTTGTAAGATCACATGTCACAGTTAATACATGTCACATGTCAAGTGATGGGCAATGAAAGTATATGTTAAGAAAGTATATGTTAAGAAAGTATATGTTAGTGCCTCATTATTTGACCCAGAACAATAATAACACAAATTATCAAGCAGTTCTGATTCTATTCTAAATGCAGTTGTTAAAACAGTATAGTCCTAGGTCTATATTAATGCTAGTAGCCATGATCCACCTCAGAAACCAAGGTTTTCACAGATCAAGTTGTGTCCTTCCCTTGTACATAAAGACCTGGTGTTGCTTCACAGCAATAGATGAAATGCTGAAATATTTTTCCAAATTACTTAGAGCCATCTCATAGCTACAAATACTGACCTATAACCTCCCTTTTTATTAACTTTGTCATAAACAGCATATAGAAAAAGCAATGCTTTTGATTGTAATCAATAACCAGGAACAAGTAGAAAATTACATGACTTACACAATTTCCTTCAAATAAGCACAATATTATTTTCATAAAGTTTTCCCATTTTCCCTCTGTCCTCTGTGTTCATCCACAGCTTCAAACATTGAGAAGACTGACTCACTGACTTAAGAAGATTCACTGCAGTTTTACTCAAGATTAATGAAGGCTCTGCCTCTGTGGTTACAGCAAAGCCATACACATAATCTGAAGTTCCTTATGAAATCTGAAGTCCACTGAGTTGACTTAGCCAACTACCTCTGCTCCTTTTTCTAATATCAGTTAAAAAGGCACAATACATACATACCAAGTTTTAGCCAAAATGTGGGTTCACAATGAATTAATACATAAATACATTAATCAGAAGCATATCACTGGAAGCTTCAGGTGGAAATTTAAACTGTGAACCATTTCTCCACCTACAGGATCAGTGCATAGACCTACAGAGGGTACTGCTGAGGCTGACTATGGACCAAAATGTGAAAATCATGTTTAACAGACATAGGTGATTAGTTTGAACCACAACCATCCATCCAGTTGATCTTAGCCACTTTCCCCTTATTATAATATTTACCACATCAGATATCAATATTCCCCATCTTAATGGATTACACTTTCCTCACCAAATAACATTCCTCACCAAATAACATCTTCTATAGGTCTTTAAAACTGCTTTTCCTATCCTGAAGCTTTCTGATTAATTTCAGCTAAGTACTAATAACTCAAAAGTCTAAAACCAGCACAGAAAGAGTACATGTTATTTGTAGCTGCTACTGCTGAAATAAACCCTGTTTAAAAAAAAAAAAAATTGGCAAATTCTTAAAGATTCTTCATTTTAGATTGAATCAGCATAAAAGATTCAGCCTGATTTTCTGAATAGTGACAAAGGGCCAAAACCTCAAGCAGACACATGCACCATTATTCCACAAGGAACACCTGCAAACATGTTGTTTCTGTTTTGTTTTCATAGTAACAAGAACATTTATCAACACATCTCATGTAAAAGGAGCCTGATCAATCAAAAGATTTTGCTGGCTAATCTTTCAATGTAGTCAAATAACATGATCTCATTACGTGATAATATACACAGTAAATTCACTTTTACGTTCCATGTTTAAGAGACATATAAACATGTTTTATCTACTCTAATGGCATCTTTCCAAAGACTGCTACAAGGATCTAACCAGCTGAAAATCAGTTACATCTTAATTTGTAGCATCATTAATATACTATCATGCCCCAAATTGCACCCAAATTAATTTCACATCGGTTTAATCATAAATGCCCTTATAGAAATAAAAGCAGTCTCTAATAAAGTCAACCACACAAAATACGATCACCATCACAGAAATATAGATGCCACCAAGCAGATTTTGTTTTATACCTGACCGATGTTCAAAGCAAGAAACTCAGACAATTTTCTAACAGCTTCACCACTGTAATACATTTTCCTGTATATAAGAAATATACTGCATTTCAAACCTAGTGGTCAAAAGGGGTTATGACACTTGAAGCACACTGCCTTTAAGGAGATACAGGTAAATCCCTTTCACCTCGGAATAAAAATGCACAGTTTTCATCTGGTACATTACTTCTCAGTGTTCCATAGGAATTTTGTCTGAATAATGAAAATGATACCCTTTCTACTCAATTGGAGGGCATTTCTGTCTTGATAAATTATTTGGCCTATATCCTAAAAATCAAGACCAGTCTATTTATTATACAATCTTCTTGGGTAAATTTTTGCTTTGGCACTGTTATACGGAGAAAAAGCACAAGACATTCGCAAATTCTAATATATATGTGCTATATATATGATATATGTAATAAATATTTAAGTACATATAACACATATGTGCAAATATTTTAAATAACTTGATTTCCTCAAAGACAAACAGCACCAAACATTACTATATCACTAGAGAAAACGTTTCTAATAAAGTTAAACTGCTTTTTTCTAGGAGGACAGATCATAGCAAACTTAATTAAAATGGATCTTATTAATATTTCAAGTAATTTCTGGGCTTGATTATGCACTACAGAAGAAACAACTGTACTGAAGAGAAAAATCAATAGCCCTTGACCAGGGCTCTGGGGTATGCTAGAAAAACACCGTTCTCTTGTGCCTTACCCAGGTCTAGCCTTTGGGGGTGGGGGAGAGCACCAATAACAATTTGGAAGTCAACTGAATTATTTTTAACACGGCAAAAAAAGGAAGGAGGAAAATCAGTTCAAAATTTCCATTATAATGAAAGTACCGGAAACAAGCCTTTTTATGTTCATTTTAGGCCCAAGTAACCGTGCAGAGAATAGGGCTTTTGCAGTGTCAGTTGCACACTCTGCTTCCTGTGCGAATTCTCAACCATTACAGGTGTCCTCAACCCTCCAGTGAAAGCGATCTCCTATCAAGGGATTCCTGCGGTCCCCTCGAAGCCATCCCTACTGCCCCCTACCCGGCACGTATGACTGCGAGTGTCTCTATTAAGGACCCTCTCTCTTCTCTGCACTCCTGCGGTTAAAGTACCCACTTCTCCTCGGCGTGGCATGTGAAAGCTTTCCCATTAGGGAGGACTAGTTCCTGCAGTCCTTTCTACCTAGATGCTTTCAAGTCAGAGAGGAGCCACTTGAAGAAAACCCTCCGCCCCCTCCCCTGTCCCCCCACCGGAGCCGCGGCCTTGAAGGACAACGCCAAGAGCCACTTCCTGACCTTCTACCCCTTCGCCCGACTGGGGCTGGGAGGGCTGGGGTCGCACTTTCTCGTGTCCTCTTCTGCACTGGATGTGTTATGTAAGAGGGACAGGACGCGGGAGGCACATGCGTATAAAGCGCACGGATCTGTGATAGCAGCTGGGGTGGCAGAGCAGATCTGGAGTCTCCCCCACCAAATACGACAGACACCACACACACACACACACACACACACACACACACACACATCCCCCCCCACCCCCAGCAGTGTTTTCCTGTCTCACCCCTAGCAGTACCAGACGCACAGAAAGGAAAGGCGGGGGGAGGGGTGCAGGGCGGTGAGAGGAGGAGGAGAGCCGCACGTCTGCTTTGATAGCAGCCGGCAGAGCCGCCGCGGCAGAGAGCCCCTCGTTAACCCCCTTCCTGTGGCTGCACCACGTCATGGAACATTCCCGGAACGGGCCAACGTTCCACCCACTTCAGGGAACAGACATAAAGGCGCAGATCCAGCTCCCCACCGTGCACAGCCCAAACACACATGTCCCTCTCCCGGTCCCCGGGCAGACGCACAGACGAACACGCATGCAAGACGCCCCCACCGGTCTCCGCGCGCCCCCGGCCAGCCCGCCGCGCCGGGAGCCGCTCTGCGACCGGTGCACCCGCGAGGCGAGGGCGCCTCCGCCTGAACCTTCCATCGAGACAGTCCCCTCCTTCCTCGCTTCCTTCCTTCTCTCCTTCCTTCCTTCCTTCCCCGCTGGGGAGGAGAAAGGAGTCGCCGAAATGCCAACAGCCGGCTCCTCCGCTGCGCTCGCTCGGCCGCAGGCCGGCGGCCCGGCCCTCGCGCCGCCCGCCCCCGGCCCCGACCCACGCCGCGCGGCCCCCTCCCCCGTTACCTGACAACGGGCGGCCGGCGGCCGCGGCAGCCGCAGCGGTGGCCGGGCGGTGCGCGCCGGTGCACGTCCCTCATTAGTAACCAGGCACATTCCTGCCTCCAGCGCTCCCGCGCCGCCCCCTCCCCCCAGGACATTACGCAAAGCAGCCTCCCCTCATCTGCATAGATCCTCGGCCAGGGTATTCCCCGCATTTCCCAACGCGCCGGACCCCCCTCCCGAGGTCTCCCCCATCCCCGCCCCCTCCGACCCTCACCCTCCGGACGCCGGTCCCGAGCCGGGGGCGCGCGCCGGGAGGGGCCAGAGGGGTCCGGCGGAGGCGATTACGGTGTAAAGTGAAACGAGCTCCCTATGCTAAAGGAGGCAGGAAAAAACACCGCGCCGAGGCCACTTACCGAGCCGAGGGACCTAGATTCCCGCCGCTCTGCTCGCCCGAACGGTCGGTCCGCCCTCCACGCACCCCGAGGCTGCACCCAGAACCCCCAAAAGTCGAGACGTGTAGGAATATGGTTAAGGAGCCAGGAGACCCTCCAAGTTGCTCCGGGCTCCCGGGAGCCTCAACGTCCAACACACAACTTGGCCAAGACTTGTGCCACAGTCACCGGAGATGTTTCTGCGGAGACCCTCCTCCGGCGGGCAGAGACAGCGCTCGGCGGCGCCCCGCTCGTCTCCTCTCCACCCCCTCACCTCCAGCCCGCCTCCGGCCGGCCGCCCGCCCCCGGGCCGCTAGCCCCTCGGGCGGCTGTCAGCTCCCGGCCGCCGCCGGCTGACTGGGGCGGGAGGAGGGCGCGACGCGGCGGCCCGAGCCCGAGCGGTCGAGGGGGATCCTCGCAGCAGCAGCAGCCGCGGCGGCCGCTCACCTGGAAAGTCACCGCTGAGAAGGAGGAGGAGGAGGAGGACGGAGAGAAGGAGGAGGAAGAGGAGGGAGAGGAGGAGGGGGAGGAAACCCCCCTGGTGCCCTTGTTCTCGCTGCCGCGGCGGCCGCTCCTCGCCAAGGCTGAGCGTGTCTGGTGGGGGGTGTCTGGTAGCATTTCCTTAAGGACAGAGGGAGGGCGGGTGCGGAGGGAGGGAAGCGATCCCGACCGCCTGCCCAGGCTCCTCTTTCCTTTTATTTATTTTTCTGACACTGTACGGAGATGGGCCCGGGGCAGGGGCCACCGGGCTCGGGCGGGAGCCGCGAGGCCCGGGCCGCAGCCGTCTGCGTGCGGGAGCCGCAGCGGCCGCCTCCCCTCCCGGTCTGTGGACGCACCGGGTTATTCCTGGCAGCGCCTCCCCGAACAGAAGTTACTAGGAGGAGTGCGCGGCCAGGGCGGGCGGGGGGGGGGGAGGAGAGGCGGGGGGGGGGAGGGAGGAAGAGGGAGAGACTCAGCCAGCGACGTCATCGGATCCCCCAGCGCGTCCCAGGGAGGGAGGCTGAACCAGAAAAACCAGTCTGGAGCCGGCGAGCGGAGAGGGTTGAGCGGCTCGCGGGGCGACGGGGCCGGGAAGCGACCGCGAGGGCAGGGCCGGGACCCCGCGCGGCCGCACCGGGCGGGAAGACCGCGGCCGCACTCTCGCTCACTTGGATCGGGGATCTCCCCCGGAGGGCTGGTCTCTACTTGTCATGCAGAAAAAAAAAAACTTGGGCGTCCTGGGAGCCTGAGAATTTCCTTTAGGGATGTGGAAACCTCCTCTCCCCACCCCCATCTTCCCCATTTCCCAGATTACACGCACGGAATTACAGAATAATGAGAATTGTCTTGGACGATTCTGGCCGGTTCCATCCTCTGATCCCTTTCCCTCACCCCGCCTCTGCTACTCACATTTCTGTTATCGGTCAAGAAAAACAAAATCAGACTGTAGCTGCTGGCTGCGTTTCTGGAGCTTTGCAAAGTGTTTTAGTAGCACTTTTCCCCCTCGCGGAAGCACGAACTTTTCAGGCGCCCGAAATGCCCCAGCTGCCTTCCCTGAGGTCACTCACCAGGGCGCCCTGGGCGCACCCAGTTCGGGGAACGCGGCCCGCCCCGCCGGGGTATTCAAATCGGCTGGGGCAGCGGCGCGGGGAGCAGCTGCCGGCTTCCTGGTGGGCCGAGCTGGGACCTGGGGCGAGCGGCCGCCCCCAGCCTGCCCGAGTCCCTTCCTTGGAAGGGACGCGACTGAAATCGCACGCAGCTCGGGGAGAGCCGGACCAGGGGGCGGGGGAATCCCAGGCGAGCAGGCGCCGGAGCGCTGGGCTTCCTCCCCGGCCCGGCGACACCCCGGGGGACACCGGGGCTCCCTCGAGCCGCTAGCCTGCCCGTGTGGACTCGTGTACACCCTCGAGGGGGAGGCTCCCGGGAGGCCGCGGCGGCCGGAGAGCCGCGAGAGGCCGTCGGGCTGGGCGGATGCCCCGAGCGTCTCCTCCGGGTGGTCTTCGGACCCGGCGGAGACCGCGCGCCGCTCCTCCTGGGCGCCCGAGCGGCCGAGCGGAGCCGGGTGCCCGGGCGCCGCGGGCCCCAGCCGCCCTCCCCACCCCGCGGCCGCGCCGCCGCCCTGCCCCGGGCGGAGTAAACAAGAGACGCGCAAGATTTGACCTGGCGCGACCCGGATTTCTGGCCGGGGTTCCCCCTGAGCAGGTGACTCCGTGGGAGGGGTGGAAATTAGTCTCTGGAATTCCGGGCCAAATACATTCACTGTGGTTCTGCTTTTAAGGCAGGTATTTCACCGACAACTGCGGACTGTTTTGCGTCTCAAGTTTCAGATTTCGCGGAAAGGGACCAAATGTCAAGGCATATCAAATATTCCCTTCCCTTTTCATTAAAAGTGAGTGCATTAATAGGACAGCCCCTTTAATGACTGCGAGAATAGCACTGCCGGTTTCGTTTTTGTTTTGTTTTGTTTTCCATTTCGACGTATAATCAGTGTATTTCTGAGGTTCCGGTGCAAGGGCAACATGGTCCTGAAGGCCGCTTCTGGACCGCAAAGCAGTGATACATTTTTTATCGATATTTTTTTTAAGGAGAAAAAAAAAAACGATTTGAAAAAAGTTTCACTGTATCCTTTGAGAGTGAGCTCATTTAAATTCAGGGCCTACTTCCACTGAAGTGGCTTCTTCTTTCATTGTATAAGTTCTTTAACGTTCTGCCTTTCTTGACTTAACTTGAAGAACTTAATAAAAACTCCCGATCATCATTTTCTCTCAAATGTATGCCATTGCATTTTTAGACATCCGTTTAATACGCAAAACGTGATTTTGAAAATATTTTTCACTGCCAAACCCACCTGCTACATACTCCCAGAACCCATTTTATTTCATTGCTTAATAGAGAAGATTAAGCAGTTTCTTTAAGAATCCAATTTTCCTTCACACACAACAGCAGCTGCCCAAGCTCCCAGAAGCTAAACAAAAGGAAAGTAGCAAGCAGTGTTTTGCTTCACAAGAATAAATGTTAGTTGAAATCTTAAAAGTCTGTTTTAAAGGACTAGATTAAGTGGTATAATGTGAATATTAGGATATTTATGTAATTAGTTTATTTACTTTTTTAAAAGCAAATAGACATCAGTTTTGATGACCTAAGTGGAGCCCTAAAGATAGTCGTTAGTCAAACTTTTGTCTCCAAATCATCAGACACTAAAAATGATAGCCTGAATTGAGTTGAAGCACAAGTAAAAATACTTACGAATATACTAGGTGACATCCCCTCTGGTGGGAAGAATCACTGTCTTTAAGTAAAAGCATCCCTGTCTCGTCTCCAGCCTCTACTGCTAAAACATGTCTGTCCAGTTGCTTCTATTTAAGGGCAATATGGTAACAGAAAAATTCCCCTCCCCAGAAAACTTCAAAGTCAAAACCAAAACTGGCCTGGGTAAACTGTGTGCTCAGCCCCGAGAAGTGCTATAGTAAGTGAGGTTGGCCAGGCCAGAGCTTCACCCTGCCTGGGCACCCACATGGAGCATCACAACAAGGTAGAAACTTTCTTTTCATTCCTTGTCTTTCTTCTTATGTCTCAGGTTCAAAGGAGAGGGAAATCTGGTAATCTGAATTATGAGATATTAAGAAAGTAAAATAATGCCACGTGGCAGTAGGGTATTTTTTTCAGAGTCAGAAATCACTTCAAACTGAAAGCGCTTTTTTTTTTTTTTTAACTTTCACTACACTGGTTCTTAGTTGCAGCACCTGGGATCTAGTTCCCTAAACAGGGATCAAACCCGGACCCCCTGCATTGGGAGCGAGGGGTCTTAGCCACTGGGCCACCAGAGAAGCCCCTGAAAGCACTTTCCTACATACTGAAGACACTTAGGATCAGTGAACACAGGAAAGATCTCTGCTCTCCTGGAACTTGTATTCTAATGAAGGGGGAAGGAGATGGAAGAGGAACAGAATATAAAACAGCCCTAATACATAAATGGTAGAGAACTTTGGAAGATAAAAAGAATTACAAGGAAAAACAAAAATAGGGTAAAGGGTGGGGTGAGAAGTGTCATGTTTCAGTATTAAATAGGAAGATCAGAATGGACTCACTGGGAAGTGACATTTCTGCTGAGGCTTGAAAGAAATGATTTAGCAGTGGACATACCTGGAGTAAAGAACTTTTCAGGTAGAGAAACCAGCTAAGATTAAGTTCTAAGAGCAGGAGCAGGCCTGGCATGTTTGTGGACCTTAAGAGAAACAGTCAGAATGTAACTGCCTGTGAATTAAACAGCCTCCCAGGCCACTGTAAGCACTTCTCTCATTCAGAAAAAAAAAAAAGCTTGACAAAGGGCATTTATTGCATTGCCACCCAATCCCACTTAATCTGAATCTTTGTGGACCCAGGAATCTGCATTTTAATAAGTTTTTTATACTTATCCATTCTATTTTTTTTGTTTGTTTTTTCCATTTATTTTTATTAGTTGGAGGCTAATTACTTTACAACATTGTAGTGGTTTTTGTCATACATTGAAATAAATTAGCCATGGATTTACATGTATTCCCCATCCCGGTCCCCCCTCCCACCTCCCTCTCCACCCGATCCCTCTGGGTCTTCCCAGTGCACCAGGCCTGAGCACTTGTCTCATGCATCCAACCTGGGCTGGTGATCTGTTTCACCCTAGATAATATACATGTTTCAATGCTGTTCTCTTGAAACATCCCACCCTTGCCTTCTCCCACAGAGTCCACAAGTTTGTTCTATACATCTGAGTCTCTTTTTCTGTTTTGCATATAGGGTTATCGTTACCATCTTTCTAAATTCCATATATATGTGTTAGTATACTGTAATGGTCTTTATCTTTCTGGCTTACTTCGCTCTGTATAATGGGCTCCAGTTTCTACTTATCCATTCTAAATCTTGAGTCATACTGCCACAAAACACAGTGACTGATATGCCCAGGTGAACTGGGTACCAGGAGCCATTTGTACATAAAGCAGGCAAGGCCATGTTATTAATCAGGACTTTTGCGGTGGGCAAGTTGCAATCCTCAACTCAAACTAGCTTAATAAAAGGGACTTTGTTGATTCAATCAACTAGAGTATCAAGGACTAAATTCCAAGTCAGTGGGACTCTGAGGCTCGGATGATGTTACTTGGTTCAGTATTTCCCCTCTCTCAGCTCTCTGTCTCTCTTGTTTCATTTCCCTCTTCAGACGGATACTATGTGGTGTGCTGGCCGTAGTCCCAGATGACTGTTTTCCTAGGTTAGCAACTGCAGCAGGAAAAGACCTTCCCAGTTAACTCAGGCAGCCTTATAGTCAAGTCCTTGCACCAGAACCAATCATTGACCACAGTGTCTGGAAGGGCACTGTGCATTTCAGCAGTCCATGCTGCTAGGAAGACTAACTTCTTCATTCTTAAGAGCACTCAGGGAATATGCACATCTGGTCTTTTTCCTGAGGAAGACGGTTTCAGTGGCCTCTCATGGAAAACCTTCTTGAAGAATAAAGAACAAAAACTCAGATTAGGAAACAGTCAGTACCAGGATTACTGAAATCCAAATGCACCTTAGATATAGGGACACAGAGACTTAATACCTCACTAATAACGTACCCACATCACATTGGTGCTCAGACGCTCAATCGCGTCCAGCTCTTAGCAACCCCATGGGCTGTAACCTGCCAGGCTCCTCTGTCCATGGTATTCTCCAGGCAACAATACTGGAGTGGGTTGCCATTCTCTTCTCCAGAGGATCTTCCTGACCCAGGGATCAAACCACATCTCTTTGGTCTCTTATGTTGGCAGGAGGATTCTTTCCCACTAGCACCACCTGGGAAACCCACGTTAGCCTTTTCCCATTCTACTCTCTTCCATCAGCTCCTGCCACTCCAAAATAAATTATAACTGAAATTCCTTCATTCAACAGTCATTACTTGAGGTTAAGTCTTTGCATCTATCAAAATCTTCCATTACAAGCTAGATACAAGTAGTGAGCTCTTACTATCCTAAGCTCTTAATAGGTCATTAACTTCTTATGAGAGATTTATTTATTATATTGCCTTTCCAAAGTGACAGCTAGCTCAGGGCTCACACTGATTTATCTTGATAAAGCCTAAGATGCGGATGGTATGAGGAGGGAATAAGACAAAGAGGTCAAAGGTTGGGCAGGACTGCTATGGGTGAAAGGGTGTAGTAATATGAAATGAGAGACAGGCAAAGCAGAACGAGGTCTTCGGTACCCGCTGAGTATGCCTCTGCTCAGGGTCTATGAAGGGGGCCATGATGATCTGGGCTTCTCAGGCAGGAGGGAAGTGGGTAGCTCCAGCAGTCTAGAGTGTAGGTCCCCCTCTGACCTTGAGCTCAAGGGAGACTTGTCTTCCCTCTCCAGGCCTCCACTTCCTGATCCAAACAACAAGGAGATCCCCTTCTAAGCACAGATTCTGACAGTTCTGAACTCCTGACAATCCAGTAGGGCCTGAAGGGAGGGAACAGGAGGGGAGGGCAGCAGAAAGGAGAAAAATAGGGGAGAGAGCCTACTAAGGACCATTGCATTCTTCAAAAGCTCATGAGTTGTTTCTTAGGAGAAACCCTCAATTTCCAATTCTAAAGAAATGGACATATTTGGGAGGATGGATAAATAATGGGTAAGGATGAAGGGACAGAGACTTTGGATTAAACCGATGCTATATAAATTCATTGTGCTGTATGCCCAGATATGAGAAGAACTGTTTCCCATTATCAACCTTAAGACATGTTAGGGAAAAAATGTATTTTTCTTGAATTTATGCAGTGAAGTCTTTTGTTGTTTGTTGTTGTTCAGTCACTCAGTTGTGTCCAACTCTTTGGGACCCTGAGGACTGTAGCCCACCAGGCTCCTCTGTCCATGGGGTTTTCCAGGCAAGAATACTGGAGTGGGTTGCCATTTCCTCCTCCAGAGGATCTGTGCTACCAGGGATTGAACCCACATCTCCTGCATTGGCAGGCAGATTCCTTACCACTGAGCCACCAGGAAAGTGCAGTGAAGTCTTTTACTAACATCTAAATCCTTACACTTTGGCGATTTCTGAAAATAACGACTTGACCCACTCCAAATCTATCTGCTGATCAGATCTAACTCTCTTGTTTATAGCTTGGAATCTGAGTTAGGAGGAGAAATAGAAGTCAAATAGTTGTCACAAACC